GTAGGGATGGAGGGTTGGGGTGCATTGGGGCGACAGAAGACTTGATAATGGTTGACAAAAACTTGAACACGTTTCTACTTCTTTAAAATACAGTATATTTTGATTGTTTTTGAGACTTTCTGCGTTGGCAGGCAGGACCGGAAAGTTCGCTGGAATTGGCAACCCTCGGGAATTCAAAAAAACCAAATAGTCTAAATATTCCGCCAATTATAAAAGTTCAAAATATTAAGGATATTTATACAATTCAAATTGAATTTAATTTTTTGAAAATACTAAATGTTTGGCTTATTTTCAGAAGATCAAAATATTTAAACTATTGAGCTCAAACGGGTTGCCAATTCCAGAAACCGATTCAATATTTAAGACATTTAACACATTTAGTTCAATTTTTTACAATATCTAAAATATTTTTCATAGGCTGAATATTTTAAATGTCTAAAATATTGAATGAAATGGAAATTAATGTGAACATTCAATTTTTAAATGTTTTATACTAAATTGATTCCTTGAATTGGCAAACCTCTTGAATTCAATGTTTAAAATATTTTAGATATTCCGCCTGTATTTAAAAATATTTAGGTAAAATTTGAAATTAGTGTCTTAGATATTTTACATATGTCGCCTACTAAAAAATGTTTTGAATATTTATACTATTGAATTCAATCGGGTTGCCAATTCCAGGAATCAATCTAATATTTCAAACATTTAGACAATTTATTTCAAATTTTGTAAAACACAAATTACAATCTTAATTCAAATATATTTTTTTGCCTGAACATTTACAGAATTTAATCCAAATTTTGGCTTAATGTTTTAATTCTGAATGTTTAACCGAATTGGCCGCCCTCTTGAATTCAATATTTTAGATATTTTAAATATTCCGCCAATCAACAGTTTAAATATTTTAAAATAGAGTTTAATGTTAACCATTTATAATTTATGACTGTTCAAAGTTAAGAGACTAAGATTAAACTTAATGTTTGACTTTTTTGATTGTTCCGCCTATGAAAAATGTTTGAAATATTTGTGCATTCAAAGGGATTGCCAATTCCAGGAATCAATTTAATATTCAATTTTTTACAACATTTCATTCGATTTTTATCAAACAGTTTAACTTGTTTAAATCTTTTCCAATAGGAAAAATATTTCAGTTATTTCCAAAATACAATTCAATTGACAACCCAATAGGCTGAATGCTTTAATCAAAATTCAATTTACTGGTTTCAATGTTTTAAACGGTTTAAAGATTAAATTGGTTCCGTGAATTTGCATTTCATTATAATATGTCAAAAACTGCAACTTTGGAACTTTTGTGCTTTTTGGAGGGGGGACCAAAGTTCCAAAGATCAAAAACTGCACAAACCCATGTCACCGGAATGGCTATGGCCAGGTCATGGGGTCTGCAGTTTTGGAGTTTTGGAACTTTGGAGGGCCTCCAAAGTTCCAAAACTCCAGAACTGCACAGACCTATGTCCCCGAGTGGCCATGGTCAGGTCATCAGTTTTGGAGTTTTGGAGTTTTAGCGTTTTGGAACTTTGGAAGGCCTCCAAAGTTCCAAAACTCATAAAGTGCACAGACCTATGTCCCCATGGTCAGGTCATGGGGTCTGCAGCTTTGGAGTTTTGAAGCTGTGGTTTTCTATAAGAAATACGCATAAAACACTGCAAACAGTAAATTTGATGAACGGGTGTTTCCTTTTTTTGGGGGGTACAATATATACATGTATAACTGTATGTTTGTATGCATGCATGTATGTATGTATGTATGCACGTATTCAAAAGTAATGGTATGGCATGGTATGGTATGGTATGTAATGTAATGTATGTACGAATGTATGAATGTATTCTGGCGCTGGACAAGGTCCCCATTGATCAGAGCCACATTGACAAGGGCTGTGTCAGTGAGAGGTGACTTGTCGTAAGCACATCGAAGCATGTCTAGACCCCAGCCCTGCAGGTGCTGTTGATGCTGCTGCAGCAATGGCGGCAAGACCTCATCATGCCTTGGATAAAGGGCAAAGCCACTTCCTGCATGCTCAGTCCGGGGGATCTGTTTCAGACTACGCAAAAGATTCTCAGCTCATTGAGCTTGATTGATATAAACGCCTCCTGGGCACAACTGCTCCTTGGCAAACCTGAAGTTTTTGGTGTCACGCCCACTCGCGACCCGCAGCGGCGCGCGCGTTTGGTGGAAATCATATTTCGGTTGTTGGGGGGGTGGGGGGGGGTTCAGTTACGTCGTTCAGTTACGTCGTTCACGGAACGTTGTCACGGAAACCAGCGGGTTCAGTTACGTCGATACGTCGTCGTCGATACGTCGATAGCACCGCAGTTTTGGCAGCTCAATGCGTTCGTTGTCCCTTCGTTGTTGTGTCCTTGTAACCTGAGTTGCGCGAAGAAAAGTCAGTTTGCAACTTTTTGGGGGTTGGACAAAAACGTACACTTGTAAATCCCCTTAGAATTGCAGATAAACGTCCAAAAAAAGGGGGGAATTGTGGAGCGAAATGAACATGCGAACATATGGGACAACATTGAAAACATTGTGAAGGACCATGGATGCATTTCAAATGACCTGAGTGCTGTGTGCACGACTACGCGGGTCACTCGGGGTCGTGTTACCAAGTTTTTGACCCCTTCGCCACCACTGCTGCTAGTCGAGGTCCAGCTCCCATCGCTAGTGGTGGTCCAGCTACTTTCACTGCTACCACCGTCAGTGGAACAGGACCATCCTCTTCAGATGGTCTTGCCACCAAAGGTTTTGAAGGGCCAAACAATGGCAAATACTAGATCCGTGAACCGCTGAGGCTTCGGAAGACAGGGAAAAGCTCAGGGCATTGCTTCGCAAGGCAAAGCGGGATGCTGACAGCTTTGGGGGTTTAGGATACTTGTTGAAGGCCTTTTTCCCTCTCCTGCATAGCCAGAGTGTATAGGTAGATCACCGGGGACCGAACGATTTCGCCGATCCCGGCGGATTCTCGGGGTCGCCCTCCGATGCCCACCTTCGCAGACGGTGCACGCTGCTCCTGACGGCAAGTCGTGGCGACGAGAAGGTTACGACATGCGAGTTGAGCAACGACTACTGGGGCTCAGCTGAAGGTCTATGAGATTCAACCATGTGCTTTAGTCATGGCATGTCTCCAAGATAGGTTAATTTAGACAACCCACTCGCTCAGTTTTGCTGCTGGCCGTCTTTTCTTGTTTGCACTATAACTGGAAACTGTAGGCTGGTGAGGCGCTCTAGGTATAGAATACAGACGCAAAGGCACGGCGTAAGCCAGCCCCCAAACCGTCACACCCTCCACGCCTGCCACTTTGCATCAACCTTTTCGGTGCGACTCGAACAGAAGCTGCCACAACGACCACAGGACTCTGAAGATCAAGATATCGTAAGAGTTTTGGTTTGCTTTTGTTATGCATGATCCATGAAAAATCCAGGGGGCTCGAGCATTGTGATCTACCATGTATTGCAACCAGCTTGGAATTCCACTTGCTGATGGGAAGGGTCTCACTTGTGATGGGTGCCCCTCACTTATATACCATACTGCATATATATATATATATATATTTGTCATATATACATATTGATGTATATATGTATTAAAAAACAGTTGCATATATACATACATATATACATATATATACCTGGACTTTCCACGGGTGTGTTTTGTCTGCCGTTTGGCGAAGCAGCACAAATTTCAGTCGTTTGCCGTAAAAAACGCCGTTTCATCTCAAAAGTGACGTTTCGATGTTTTTTACAGAGGTTACCAAACTAGCAGTTGGCAAAAGTCGCCGTTTGGTCGGGAAAAGTCGCCGTTTGGTCGGGAAAAGTCGCCGTATCAAAACCTTAACATACCATCGAAAACATGTCAATGCAAAAAGTGCTTCAGTACAAAAATAGTTGGCGTTTGCTTGAAAAAACAGTTTTGATAGAAAAGGCGGAAAAAATGCATACTTATGAAGACCCAGGTATATACACACATATATATATACATGCGTGCACTGAACCCCCAAATCACCCCAATGTGTGGGCGAATGTGGCATACATGGAGTGTCTGAGGTCGTTTTTGCGGTCGCTGCGCGGCTTTGTCGTTGTGCCGGGCCACATTTGAGTTGTGCCTGTCGGTCAAGCAGCTGTGCTGTAATGTGTTTAGGACCAGTGCCCATGTTGGAGAAGCAGCTTTGACTTTGACAATGCCACTGGTGTTTGGCTGAGCGAGAGTAGGTGTTGGTCTCGGACTTTCTATTTTCAACCCAGCAACCATGAGGTCTATAATTTTTGCAACCTGCCGCTGCCAGGGGTCGTGTGTTCTTGCGCTACCCAGCGGTGTCAAACAAACCTGCCAAGTCTCGGCCTTTCAAAGTGCTACTGTTGGATGTTCTTCTCCAGTGGGCATGTGGAACCAGAGAAGGTCCGTGTGCCAAACCACTCTGGCCGTACATGCGATATCGGAACTGCTTGCAAGCAGTGCCTGGAATTTGCAAGGTGTTACAGTGACTGTTACAACATGCCTGTAATGCCATCCCTGCTGATCTGGGTAGATGTGATTTTTTCTCAGAACAGGGACCCCCAACCAATGGTTTTCATTCTTCCACGGAGTCTTGGTGGCCTACTTCAATACAGACTCGTCTACAAAAACTGCAGGTTCAGGTGGATTCTTTTCTGACTGAACTCGCAAGAGAGATTCCTTTGGATCCATACCCTCATTCCCTGCTAAGCACAAATCAGTTGTTTTCAAGATAAAGCGACCCACCTTCGCCCATCTTTCGGTCCACCAGGCCGACGCTACCCACGGTTGATTGCGTGGTCGATTTTTCCGGGTAGTTGTTGACCGAATGGGTACGTGTCCGGCAAAACATGCTGAACTGAAACAACAGGAACTACGTGAAGGTGGATTACAGGGCTACTGAGAAACTATATCATTTGGATCTCCGGAACTCATGCGCCCTCTCCCCGATATTGTTTGACTAAGCTTGCGAACCAACTCGCCACGCTCGACACAGGCACCAGCTTGGTGGCGGCCTGCTCCGGTGTCGTGAGCACTGCCGCGACTTGATTTTCGGGTGGGCCAAGGACACAGGCCAACAAGCGGACAGGTTCCAGCCCATGATGGTGTGGTTTTGGATTTGGGACGTTGTTTTGGTCAATTTGGGATGGAATTGTTTTGGGCGTTTGTGTTTGGAAATAGATTGGGCAATCCTCTCAAATGTTGTTGCAACTTGGCGCAGTGGCAGGTGGTTCAGTCGGGTTCCAAAAACTGTGGACCGTTCAGGCAAAATCCTCATGAATCCACACAGTTTGAGGTCTGACACTGGTGTATCAGCCTTCCACGGCTTTCGGGATGGCTGACCATGATCCAAGCGAGGAGGACAACCTTGATTCTCTGAACCCAAGACTTTCAAGGCATGTTTGTTGATCAAGGATTGTAAAATACCATGACCCTCCTTGTTTTTTTGCAACTCCACCTATACTCGCAAGATCTTCCTTCCTCCCTCCCCTTCCCTTCCCTTCCCTGCCCTGCCCTGCCCTGCCCTGCCCTTCCCTTACCACGCCCTCTTCGCTCCCTTCGCTCCTCCCCACGCGCTTCAGCTCCATGGGGCGCCCCGCAACGCGCGCTCTGACCCCTCCTGCGCTCCTGCGCTCCGCACGCCCCGCGAAAAACCCCCGCGGCCCGCGGTCGGCAGAGGTCATGGCGCGGCTCTTGCAGCTGCCGGGTGCCTTGGGGCGCCCGAGCATCGGGCGCTACTGCACGGCGCCGCTGGCGCTGGCCGTGGCCGGGAACCTGGACGCCTCGCCGCCGCTCACGGTGGCCATGGCGACTCGTCGCGAACAGAGGAGAGGTTTCAGGAGCTGCTGTGTTTGGGGCTGAGTAGGACCCAGCGGCCTAGAAGCCTAGCTGTAGTGAGTGAAGATATGTGAAGACCATCTGGAGTTAGCCCCAGATCTCCGCAAATATCATTTTGGTGGTAGGGCCAGTTCCTCAACTAAAGACCCTCCAATCCTGGAACTCCTCTCTAATGACAAATTGGAAAAGGTTTCTACACGGCAGTCCGCTGTGTTCCTGCAGAAAACCCTTTGATGTTCGCACAAAGATAACAAAAGACTCTTCAGAAATGCAAAAAACACTTATGATTCACTTATGATTTCTTCCTTGTTGGAATCCACCTCACCGCCTCCATTTTTCAACCGGTATCAGTAAATCCTCCCACAGATTCCCCCGGCCGTGACGTCCGGTGACGCACGGGGTGTGAGGCCTCGTCCTCGTTTCGCCGCCGAGGTGGTGGCTTCAGGCTTCGTGGGGATCTTCGCAGCGAAGCCGCTGCTGGCACGGCTGAGGGTGAAGCAGAGCCGGGAACGGGGCCTGGCCATTGGGGCAGTGTCTGGGCCCAATTCCAACGGGTGTCTGGGATATAGGGAGACCACCTCCAGGTAAATGACCCCTGGAAGAAGGAAGATAGACCCGTCAGTTGGGGGTCTCCCATCAAATTGCACACACACACGCACGAACCCATTTGTTCCTCTAGGTTTGCAACGACCTTTTCCGACCAGGACCAGGAGCATGCAACAAAAATTCACCCGTCGGCTTCCCCCCCGTTGTTCCACTCCAGGCCTCACCAGACACTCTCAGAATCAGAGAAAACCCAGCCCAGGACCATCCTTCCTGGTCCAATGGGTGTCCTGTCTGGACGATACCCAGCCCAATACTTGTCCAGACAGGACACCAAGTCAGACAGGATGGTCCAGGTCACTGCACTGAAATGACTAGTGGACTGGGTCGTTTCAACTAGACCTCCCTTTGGTGTCCTTTTATCCTCTCAGACCCGGAGAGCCCCTTTGGTTCAGAAGCGTTTTACATGGTTTTACGATGTTTTACTCTATATACAAAGCCCTATTCTTAGGTCCTAAAGGTCAAACCCTTCAACCCCTCCAAAAGGATCGAAGCACCGGACCGGAAAACCGCTCCTTCAGCGCTACGGTCCCCAACCACCGAGGTCTCTCACGTGCTTGGGACGGTCTCCTTGGCCTCCTGGGACGAAGCAGCAGTGCCCTACAGCGCTTTATGCTTCGCGCCTCGGGTCGAAGCGAGCGACAAGGTGAAAGGGTGCGGGGAGGCGGCTGAAGCCGCGTGCCTCCCAGCGACCGAGGTCCTGGCCAGCGGGAGCACCGCTGCTTTGACCGCGCTGCCGCCGGTGCAAGCGCTGCTCCTGTGGATTTTGCCCGCGTGAGGAGTTGTGCAGAGGAGTTGTCTCAAGCGACGCCCTGAGAAGAGCAAGATGTCAAACAAGTGTCATTACAATGGATATCATGTTCCTCAGTACTTTTCAATTTGGCCCAAGCTCCAGACAATCCTGAGCATTTCTGTTCCAATGGTTGGGTTGTAAAAACCATTGGATAGAATCGTGTTTGGCAAGTGCTTGGACGGAAATAGCATTGCACACACACACACAACATGTTGAAGCGATCAAGCTTCACATATAAGGATTCTAGTACCAGTAGCAGTTGGTACTGTACAATAATGTAACTCCATCACTCTTAACGCTCATCGGTCCCTCATAGCCATTCACTGTGAGTGGCTATGTACCCAAAGATCTATTGGTTTCATCGGTTTCATCGCTCTGTGGGTTCAATCGAAACCACAAAGACTGCATGGTGAAAGAACGTATCGTAGAAGCATACATCACGTGCTTTGGGTACAACGGCACAGCCATCCAAACACTTTTTTATACCGCGACACACTCTTCAGAGTCGCTACAAAAAAAGCGGAAAGAGTGACTTGAACGGCAAAGCAACAGCAGCTGGAAGGTCATTGTCTATAGGGACTTGCTATGAAAGACTTATCATCCTTTTCCTTGGGCCGTTTTGAAGGTCCACATGTCGCTGGGTGTCGGACGATCCGTCTCACCGACCCGCGTCCTGGGCATGCTAAAGCTGCTAAGCCCCCGTTGGACGAGGAGCCCGTCGCATCGGGCGTCGATTTTCCGGACTTGAGCATCCGAGACTCCGAAGGGATGGCAACAAGAAGGGAACGTATGGAAGGTGTAGAAAGCAAGCCCAGCCTTCAAAGACCATAACTATCCCATAAATAAAAAAGAATAGTTGACCTGGTGTTGTAGTCTAACATCCTTAGCAAAGCAAAGGCTGCTTTGGTAATAACCATGAAAACAATGTTGTTGGAATCCCAGGCAAGGACTCTTTTTTGGCCGTCTTGGGTTTCTGGCCTGCAATGATTGCGGGGTTGTTCCTCAACGTTACCCCGTGTTTGAGGAACTCCTGGCTTGAACAAACCATCCTCCTAACACCTTTCGACGAAGAAGAAGGGATAGTGAAGTTCCCATGTGTCAACCGCCATCCCTACTTGGCAAGTTTTCTTGGTTCTGCCCAAGCTTGACCGAGATTGTTTAGGGTATTTTGTTATATATATATAATAGAAAAGCCAGCACCAACCACAAGCAGGATGCCGAACGCCGTGAGTCTTGCGCCGTGAGACGTGATGAAGTGCCAAAACGGTGGATTCCTCTCAGGGTTGGGAGGGCTTGTGGGGAGGGAGGACCACGAATGACTACCAGTGGATCCATGTGGATCCCAGGCAGCCCATGAAAAAGGGACCAGGGGCTCTCAGTCGGTCTACGGTTTAAGTCTTTGGAACCGCTGGCGACTCTACGAACTAGTGGTCTGCCTTTATGCCCTAACCTATGAGATAAGCCGCTAGCCGTGACGGGTTTTCGATGGCATGAACCATACGTTCACACCCCCACGTCACAGGTTCGGCTCCGCGTGTTCCCCCCAGGGCGTCCATGCGACCCGCACGGGGAGACCTGAGGATCGCTCGAAGCCGCTCTTCGAAGACTTCTTGAAGAAGCGCGGTCTCTGGGCGCAGACGGACGGGGCGAGGGTGTGTGTGTTTGAGGGAGATCTCTAGCAGTTTGGACACGTTGCTTCTAGGGAGTCCATTGGAGATCCGGAATCCCAAAAGTTACTGACTGCGCATGAGAGAAGCAGCACATGAACAAGCTCGCTGACCGAACACGCCAGCTAAATAGAAGATGCAGCAAGGTGAGTTGCTAAAAATCAGGTAGATGATGGCTGCAGAATTCGTGAGAATGTCCCTCAAAAGTGCCCGGAGCAAACACTTTTTGAACTCTGATTGCGGAACGGGGAGGAGTTTTGTTCGCAGGGTATCTCGATTTGACCCTTCAAACATGAAGCAAACAGGTCGGCGAGGCGTGAGGGTTCACGCGTTGATTTCGCCGTTTCTCTCGCCGAAACGGCATCGGTTCGCGGTCAGCCCAGTGACGGGAATCAGGTCATCAGGTTCACAATGCCAGTCCACTTGGTTTACCAAATGTTGACTGTTGATGAATCAGACGCCCCTAATGACCAGAACGGTTTTGCATCTCCATCTATGGACGGGGGTGGGGTGAATTCATCCACCGTCGACATGACGGGGTGGTGAAAAAACACTCAAAGAACCCCCATCTCCTGACCCTCGCAGCCGGTGGTTCCGGAGGAGGGGAGAGTCCCTGCGCGCTCGCGGCCGCCTTTCGGGGGATTGGGAACCCAGGCATTGAGTTCTGGCCGACGGTGGCCAACTTCATTTTCTGCTACTTTTCGGAGCCAGTGCGCTTGGCCCCTCGGATGGCTTGGAGAAAGCGATTGCGGGAGCGCTTTGCCGGAAGGCGCAGGGTAGACCAACTTGGCCAATTTGTTTGAGGATCTTTGAGGACAAACACAAGGGGTGCAGTGTTCTGGCTGGAGTTGAGATGCATGCTTGCCTTGCTTGATCAGTTCACGTGGCTCCCTCTTTTTGCGGTTTACTTGGCTGGAACGATTCATCGAATTTGCGAGATAACTTCGAATAAGCAGGCCATGTCATGTGCAGCTTGGCCAGTTTTATTATTATCATTATTATTATGGTCAGAATGTCAGCCTCCAAACGAGGACCCTGACCCACAACAAAACCTGAAGGTAGTTGAACACTCGGTGGCAGATGCTTGACAAAGTAATTAGTGAGCTGCCTCACACTCCCACATCATGCAACAGCTTTGAGGAATGTCTATGAATGTCTTATCTAGCAGAGTCGATGCTCAAAAGCAGGGTTGTTTCGAGTTTCGATTTGGAACTCGTGAAGAAGGTTGATGCACAACGTCCTGAAGAAGGTTGATACGGTCTTTTGGACACCCTTGGCCCTCGAAAGTTGACGACCAACCTCCTCCGGATTCCTCCGGTCTCTGAGTCTCTGACGTCCCAGTTTTCAGGAGAGCGCGCTGCGCGAGAGAGGCATCCTGGTGCGTCCCAAGAAGGACCACAAGGGTGTCTTGGGTCTGCGAGTGAGCTTCGGCACCGAGGCACAGATGAAAGAGGCGGGAGGGATGAAGAGGGCGGATGGTTCCGTTCCTAGCGATGGCCTCCCATCGGATCGGCAGAAGCACTGGGGAGTGGGAGCAAGATACATGCCTGCAGGCTGCCTGCAAGCAAAAAAAGAAGAGGGTCACCTAACTATATATATATATATACTGTATGTACTGTAATCATTTGATATCATTTGTAATATATACATATACACAGTATATAGCTATTTTTGTCTATAAGGAGTTGTTTGAACATGGGAGAGAAGGGTGGTCCTCAAATTATCGTAGTGGAAAGGTACAGAATCAAACACCCATTGGTTGAAGACCTGCTTGGTTCAACCCCCGCCCCCAACAGCTTCAAATGCATCAGTGACATGCCAAACTTTGGGAGGTGAGCTAACAATCCCATCTAGAACACAGCACGACCGGCACGAGCACCAAACTACTCCACATCGTCAATCTACACTCGGAGGATGAAAAAGGAAAGACCCTATACATTCCCTCAAATCATCATGGAAGTGACAAAAAACACCTATTTAGTAGGGGAACATGCTCATCCAAGGGGCCATGTTGATCGATTTTCCACTTCCATGATGATTCCAGGGACTGTTTTTTGTTGTTTTTTTTTCAATTTTGCACGGAGTGCCCTCCGGTGCTCGGTCAGGTCATCAAGGCCTTGGAGGAGTTGCTGTGATGGGATTTTCCGCTGCCTCGGGAGCTGTGAACGATCTCACAGAGGTCCGAGGTGCATGGAGCTTTCCATTGAGCTTTGGAAGAGCTTCGCGGATCTTCAAGTCTTTTGCCAAGTGATGCGAGGGAACGGAGCAGCACGATTCAACTGGAAAAGGAGGCGAGTTTGGCATTAATTTTTTGTCAGGCACAGATTCAACAATTGTTGAATGGTGAGTAGCTGTTGATGTTAGTTTCTCATCGGTTTTGATCAAACATGGGGGCACCCTGTCCCGAACCATGTTGACAGAACACCGGGCACGGTGTGCGACACCCTTAGAACGGGTCATGTTTGTCCATTGGATGGCAGTGCCCCAGTGCCCCGGTTGAGGCAAATATCAAACGAGGGATTCCATCACTTTTCGAAGCAGAGAGGATTATTTGGAAACTGGGCTTGAGGCTGGAGGATCACACACAGGGCATTGTTACAAACACCATGGATGTGGAACTCCCCTATTTTCTGCAGAACCTTCGCAGGGGTGCTCTTTTCTTGTCGCGGAGAGACCCGACACCAGAAGTCAGGACGCCACTTGTTCCAAAACGAGGCGCAGGCGACCCACCATCATGTCACTTTTGGATACCTTTGGCTTTTCCCGCACGAACTCGTGGGGCATTGAGAACGCGGCATGGCATTTTGTATGAACGCGACATTTCAGATCAAACTGAATCAAGCCAAACATTTGGACGACAATGTAAGGAATGTGCCATATTATATACTGGTTTAATTTTAGGCGCGAGCACGTGCTATAGCAAGCCTCTCGCAAACAAGCAAAGACAAGTGGTGACAGTCAGTGTGCAAGTCAGAATGCGACCCTTCCAATTTCATCACTTGATCGTTTTTTGAAGTGTGGGTGGGGTACCATAGGGGGCAGGCGGCAGGATCATTTAAACACCCTGTTGGCAAGCTGAATTGAACAGGACATTTACTTGAAGCTCCTCGAGTTTCTTCCCTACCAGAGGCGCATAAACCATTTTTTGTGGCCTTCAGTCTCCGGAAAAATGAGACACACACATACATATATATATATATAGTCATGCCATAGATGCCATGTGGTCGGCGTGGTTTGGAGTTTCCACTTGACCCATATGGAGCTTCTGCTTGACCGGTACCGACAAAATCTCAACACCTCTCCCAGTGGAGAACTTGAGAGCATGAGAACATCCTTCATTGACCGCCCTCACTCTCCCTTCTACATTTGTCAAAGCCCCAGTCTAAACCCAGACATGGAGTGTGGCAACAAGAAGCTATTAGGAACAAGTGCATCGCTACGTTCGTAACAAGTGCCTGCTCCTAGTAGTAACAAGGTTCGCTATTAGAAACAAGGGCATTGCTACTAGGTAACACCCTCACCCACCGACCGTTCGCACACTGCGTCATGGAGCCGAACACTGCTTCTTCGCCCGAGTGGCACCGAACGGGTGGCCGCTCCGCCGCGCGGAGCGCAGCTGTGCGGCCGGTGAGTTCAACAGCGACATTCAATAGGGCGGGGTTGGGGCAATGTTTGGATGGTTGGTGTATGTTGGTATAATATAATGCCAAAATGGGGGTCCGGCAGGTTCTAGATATAGTAGTTTGAGAGTCTCATTGATCATCAAAGAGATTTCTGTGTGTGGCGCGACTGGGGCTATGGGTTTTCTAGCTAGGCCCTAGGCCCTAGGCATTGAATTCAACTATATACTTACACCCCCCAACTATTTCGCCAGATTCAAGCTTCAGCTGAATTTCGCAGTGATCCCTTGAAAAGACGGATCACTCATGGTGGGCATGATCTCGCATCCCTGACAGGCTGCAACTTCCTTTGGCCCCTGCCACTTCGACCTTTCTGCCACCGTTTTGGCTGCCGCGGCCGCCCTGCGCACCTTCACCCGCACTGCGCGGGCACGGCGCTGTTGTGCGAGTGGAGCGGAGCTGCCGGCGGTGCGCCGGCGGGAGACGGGCGCTGCTTTATTGGCAGCAGAGGCTGGGGAGAGGTCAGGGTGCTGAAGGTCACTTCAAGTCGATTCCGATAGATTAGGATCCGGAGACTCCTTCCTCTCACAGTCGTGTAGCCGTGGAACCCCCTCTAGGTCGCCGCCGCGGCGGGGGAGGCCACCGCGGCGACGCCCTCCGCTGCAAGCGACACCGAAGGAGGCGGCGCCGCGTGGCGCCGCTTCCCCACGGACTTCGTGTGGGGCGTGGCGACGGCTGCGTTTCAGATTGAGGGTGCTGTGGCGGAAGATGGGCGGGGTCCATCCATTTGGGACTCTTGGCATCGATCAAGTCCGGCTGGGGTCAGGGGTCTATGGTGATGGGGTTGAAGAGTCTATAGTTTTGCTGTGCCCATGCTTCGTTTTGGTTGGATGGTTTGGGAATAGAAGATGTTGGAGTCTGATCAGACTGGGGTTGATCACAGGATCGATCGGGATGCACCGCCATCTCATAGGAAAAGCCCCCCTGGCCTCGGGCCTCGGGAAAAAGAATGTCCTGGCTCCTGGACGAACTCCAAGTTGAAGGAATGCCTGACTTTGACCGTAAAAACTGAAATTGCCGTGTAAAGTTCAATTTCAATGATGGGGTCTCCTTCGGTTTGCCTTTCGCAGGCTCTGATTTGTTTCGTACATTTCATTTGCCCAAACACATTGGATCGGAGGGTTGGACAAGGAGTTAACTTTGGGGTGGGAGGGGTCGACGGGAGTCCAAGGGCTTTCATTATTTCATATATATATATACATGTATAATATATATATATGTATAATATTATATATATTTATGTTTACGGGGGACCCCAACATTTGCAGGCAGGCAGAGGAAGATGAGGAAGCAAGACGAAAACCCAGGAAGGACGAAACTCGCGAATAGCGGAGTCCAAGGACACCTTCTCCCATGTGAAGGGCAACATCTACGAAGACGCCAATGCAGACGTGGCGTGTGACCACTATCACCGCTACGAAGAGGATTTGCAGCTGGTGAAGCAGCTGGGGGCGAAGGCGCTGTAATTCTGAGGATGAGCTGGGAAAGCCAACAGCGGAAATCTTGAAGAGGCCAACAGCAGAGTACTCACAATGTAGGCACATGTCAGGAGGTAATTTTTCCATTTTGTGGCTGCCTTCACGAAGAACATGTTGCTACATTGGTGCCCCTAAAAAGTGCCAATATAGGCAGGTCCTTTTCGGATGTTGTTCGACATCGCTCCTCTTAGCGGCGATGAAACGCCTTGTCTCTCAGGTCCGCAACTTGCCCAGTATTCAGTTGGACCACCCAATGTTTGATGTGAGAAACGAAAGGAGGACGGACCTCCTCGAAATTCCTTCGACACTTGGAGCCGCGTACGCTCCCTCCTTGGAGCCTCGTGGAGGCCTATCGCTTTTCCATCTCCTGGTCGCGGGTCTTGCCCACGGGCGTGGTCGCCGATGGCGTCAACGAGCAGGGCCTGGCCTTCTACGAGCAAATCTGCCGAGGCTGCCTTGCGAGAGGTGCCCGGTGAAGATTTGGTGCTCTGTTAGAAGTGTGGTGTTGAAGGATTTCTAACATTTTCTAAATGGGAGATGGGACAGGCAATGACGAGTTGGATGACTAGTTATATACGACTGTAGCCCAAAAGCACAACTAAGCATGACTCTATCTTCACCACATGAACTCCAGATTGATCTTCTGGACATCATCGCAACGTTTCACCCAATGATCTTTTGCATACAATATCTGATGGGTACAGCAACCAAAAGGTCAGAAAGCGACTCTCCATCGAACGCCCCAAAAAGCGGTTTCCCTGGCGAAATTGTCCCGCAACCATTGCCCCGGCCAGCGGCTATCAGCGCACGTGGCTTCGCGCCGATCACGGCCAGGCGTGGAACCCGTGGCGACGCTGTACCACTGGGATTTGCCGGAAGCGCTGGAGGCCCCGGAGCAACAACCCGCTCGAGCGGGACGACCCGCAGCTGGCCAGCTGAGCGCCGCTGAACTCGGGTTCGGTCCGACGTACGCGGAACGTGAAGGGCCGCGAGGAATGCGGTGAAGGCGGCGATATCGAAGGGAAGAGCGAAGAATCCAGTGTTTCACCCCTTTGGCGTGTCAGGAGGCTGCCATGTTTAGTTTAGGGTGACGTTTTGGATCTCTGAAGACTTCTATTTCCTTTCAAGTCCCAGACGACGTCGTTACCGTCCGCCTCTCCGGTGGCCTCTCCGACGCGAAATCCTTTGACCTCCGCCGTGCCATCCGCTTCTGCAGGCGGAGGGGGGGGTGGCTGAAGCGCTCCACCGTGGGGCACTTTGGTCGCTTCGCGCAGCTTTGCTTTGAGCGCTTGGGGCGCTACGTGTGCCTCAGTGCGGATGGTCGGTGCGTCTGGGGAGGAGAGAGAACTCTGCGTTTGGTGGTGGGTTCGATGTAAAATGACGTTTTCCAGGTAATTACCAACCTGTGGATAATGTATATAATAATCATCAGTTACCAGTTAACAACAAAAAGGTTCCCCCACTCATAGGTGTGGGGATGGTTCGACGCTTTATGGTGGTCTGAAGAATCGCAATGGACTTCGATGGGCTGCTTGCCAAAGCGTGAGTGCTTTGCCGAGGGGCTTTGACAACAGAATGTACAGAACATTACAGAGTTTTCAGAGAGACTGGCAGTGCTGTTCAGGAACCATTAAAATGGCAGGTTCCTGAACGGGTGGCAGATTTTCGCTCTCCACAACTGGCTCGTCGCTCGTCGCTCAGGAAGACCTGGTGCAGCATCAATGAACCCTGGACTCAATGTACTTTGGACTGCTGAATTAACTATCCAAGGGGCTACATTGGAGTTTTCTGCCGAGTTCACGCAGACTCCGTTCTGGCACTGATTTCAAATGATTCACTCAAGAATGGAGTGATTTGACTTCCTGTTCAGCCACCAAAATCCCTCCACTATCCTCCACTGACTTGGCCAGCAGGCAGCAGGTGTTACACGGTACTTGGTCAATCTCTTGCATCAGCCCAACAAGCTAGTCGCTGTCTCGTTCTGGGGCTCTTCAGTTGCTACACACTACACTGCGGCTAATCAGATGGGATCACGACGATGTTCACGACCATCGCTTAGCGATATCGTCCCGAAAAGCTGATAAAACATGTCTCAGCACTTGCCTACACATCCTACACCGCCTACACCCCAAAAAAAGATGACACACATCGACACACCAAATAATTGGCCCCCCAAAAAACAAAAAACAGAAAGGAGAGAAAAGAACTCTCAAGAGAACCTTCCAAGATTAGTAGACCCACCCGGATGTCTTCCCCGCTCCGCGTCCGACCGTTGGGGGATTTTAGGGAGGGACCATGATATCACTCATCCTACTCCTCTTCAACCCTGGTCTAGCCATAACAGACCCCTGTCCCGCTTTCTCGGTCGCTTGCGTGCGAAGCGGGCCTTGCGCCCCATCACCCCGTTTGGCGCGTCCCACAGCGCGTGGGGTGCGGGCCTTGCCTTTGTGCAGGGCTCTGAGGCATCCTGGGCTATTGCTTTGGCTCGCATGCGCCCGGCCGCAACGTGAAGCCGGGCGAGGAGCCATACTTGGCAGCGCACCACATGCTGCTGGCGCATGCCAAAGCACAGGAGTGGGGGTGGCTCATTTTGCGATGGACACCTCGAGCCTTTTTTTTGGGGGATTTGGTCTTGAAAGGTGCTTGCAACCATTTCTATCCATTGGTGCTAGGTGATTCCCGGTTTAAGGGACACATCTATAATTATATGGTTTGGAGGGTGAACACCATGGATTCCGGTAGATTTTTACCTAGACCAATCCGTTGAGTGATCTACTGTAGTTCTGTGAAGCTGTCTTCGGCATTCTTCGTCTGACTTGCCAAGACCCACGAAGACGCGGATCGGATCAGATCCACCCAGCGGCCACACAGGAAGTCCCCAAGACCCAGTCCCCGATCTCCCGAAACTGCGTGGAGGAGATCTATCGCACACTCAAGCCCAAAGATGGCAGGTGAGGGGGAGATGTCAGATGTCACAGAGCAGAATTTGGGCCGCGAATCGATGGTAACTGTATCTATCAACAGGCAAGCAGACCAAAGCTACCCACCAGGTTTGGCCAGACATAACATGTCTGTGGGGGGTTGTGCAACTGGTAAGGCCCCGGAATCATGATCTCCCATGTTCAGACATGGAGGCTCTGGAGGCTCCAGAGGGTGTCCAGATCGATCCAAAGACTCTGATGCGGATATTCATCCGAAGACTTTGGGCCTTGCTGAAACGTGTGGGTGTCCGACGAGGTCTTTCTTGTTCGATCCTGCGATCGGGTGAACTAGGTGAATCCCCTTCTCGCGCTGGTTCCTGGACCGCTCGTGAAGGTGCATCTGCCGCTCTAGCTGGAGATGAGTTGAGCCTCCTCGAGTCTCAAGACCGGACCACTTTGGCCCTTCTCTGAGATCCGAGACTGTCGATTTTCCAACAAATCGTCAAGTCAATCTCCAGCTGGCACTCCATGACACAAACTCTCTTCGCCAGGTACCTTCAGAGGGTGGTGGGTTGGTTCGGTTCTCCGAATGGGCAGGCTGGCGATGGTCTTGAACACCGAGTGGCCTGAAGCACAAGAGCCGGAGAATCCGGAAGATCAGGCGGAGTCGGACCGTCCACAGACGCGACGGGACGGACGGAGACGCGAAGAGCCAACGGTTTCGACTAACGAGGAATTCTCTTGGAGCGCCTGGGGGTTGGAGAAGGTGGAGTGAGGTGACGAATTTCAGGTCATATATTATATATATGATTTATGAAAGAACTATTTCTTAAATAGGCCTTTGAGCCTGAGGGTTTATATACTGTATACAGTAATGTATATATATATATGCACATAGTACCAGGAACATTAGGCACCTAGCACCAAAACTCATTAGGCACACGACGTCCGATGTGGAGACCTCATGGGAACCCGGTCTGGTTGAAGCCATGAGGCATCCGTGACGGACCATGGAGCACCCTTCGGATGGTGGTTGTATACATTTATATACATTTATATTGTATACATTAAGTAGAAATACATATTCATAACTATGTTCTTTCAGAAGACCCTGGCTTGGCAATCAGTGTGGGGCCCACTTCGTTATTTTTTTTCTGAAGCCAGCCAACATTCTCACGCTCGCTGCGCGACGCGGTTCCTTCATGTTCCTTCCAGGCAGCCGTGGAGAGGCACAAGGTCTTCAACTTGGATTGGTTTGCAAGGTGTGGAGTGAGTTGGGAACTCTACTAATCTGGTGCTTACCAATACTTCTTGACTGCTGAGCCCCAAGCCATCCCAAATTTGGTTCACTTCCTGAAAACAAATCCATGTCAGGGTTCCATTCATAGAGCAGATCCTTCACCTGTTTGGGTTGAACCGCAACACGTCCAGAGGCCATTGTACGATGGCGACTATCCTCCACTGATGCGTTCGCGAGTGGGTGAGCGGCTGCCACGCTTTACGGAGGCGGAGCAGAAAAGTCTGAAAGGCTCCAATGACGCTGGGGCAGCAGACTGACTGGTGCTTAGTGTTGCGACAAAAGTAGGGAATAAGATGGAATAGGGCAATGACCCGTCAGACCTCTAGAGACATCCAGAGACTAGAGACCTTAGGAACTCCTTACGAGTCGCACCAGTCAGCAGACGAGGTAGCTGAAGATCTGATGGAGTTCTTTGGATTCGGATTGTGAGTTCTGACGGGTATATATATATATATATATTTTTTTTTTTTTGAGGCTCCAGTTCCAAAGATCGTAGCTGTTTCATGGCATCACCCAAAAAAGCCGAACTCGTGGGGCTTCATGGGGTTGAAAAACCGGCACCGATGCTTTCCATTTATATATACTCTGGAGAGTATATATATATATATTATATAATTAGCAAGCAAAGGTGAGAAACGATTGCTGGATTAGGGCAGGTTTCAGGCCACATTGCTGGTGAAACTGTACTTGCAGCTGGATGAACTGTCACTCTGCTGGAGTCTACCATACCTTCTAGCGCCATTCATTGACCTCAGATCCGAGTTTTTCATCCTGTGCCAGTACTGTAGTCATATAGTTCATAAATCCCAGACACTGCATGTCGTTTGGAATATATACCGTATATACCTACATTGACCCAATGTAGGCAGATATGCCATACATGGAGTGAGTGTCAGGGTATGCACAGTTCACCCATCGCTGGCTTTTGCACACTTCAATCAAGAAAGGGCCCAGCATAGGTTGGTGCTGTAGAACGATCTGATTCGCGCACAAATCACGGCCGCTCCCCTCAACCGCTTGCCGCACCTCAGGATTTCTTCGCGCTGAACTGCTACTCGGCACGCTATATCTGCGAGGATACGGCCTGGCGCAAGTGGCAGAACACTGCTGCCACCTTGCGGATTCTGCCCTACATCGCAGACGTGCCCGTGCCGAGCGGAACTGCTTCGGTCGGGGGCGGGAACGTTTGACCATTGAAAGGAAGCTGAAGACCTAGCACGTTTCCTGTCGAAAGTTGTAGAGTTGTAGTTGTTTGGCATGGACATTTTCGGAAAGAGCCATTAATTCAATGGCGGCTGGAATGTTAGTATCCTTAAGTCTTGGTAAACCTGGTAGATCATGGAGTTGCATGAAGAGCAAGAGTGGACGGTTTTTTGGTGTGAGGTGGGGCGCAAAAGATACGAATATTGATCCTTTGGTGTGCTGGAAATTGTGTCCTGCGTTCAGGTCTACTGCTAGCTTATATATATATACTTCAACCAACTGATGCCTACCTTGGAGATTCCATTTTTGGGGGTCTCAATATGACACCCCAGATGAGATAGTAGACCCGATCAGGGACAGACACTCCTGGAAGCCAGACATCCAGAGTGTTTCACTATATAAGTTATATCAAGTTTTTCTTCTGAAGAGGCTCCACTCACAGTCTAACATAGTCTAACACCTAGACACCTACGCTCTGCTTGACGAACATGGGAGTGGCAAACCTCAAATTGTCCATGGTGCCCTGTATCCAACAATCGTGGTTGTTCACAATCCATGCCATCCACTTCCACTGTTGGATGGAGGATCCAGTGACCTCAAAACAGAAAAGGACAATCACCCCCCCAAAAAATGACTTGGCATATCTTGGGAGACATGACTCGTTCTCCATGACAGACCCAATGGCTCTGACACTCAGACGTTGCCGCAAGGTGCCCCTTCAGAAGCTCAAGGCGGCACTTGCGTCCAACAAGACCGACGAGGGCAGCACGGGCGAGGAGGTGCCTGTCGGTGGTCCAGCGCAGGCGCGCGGACTGCCGGCCACGCCACCTGGTTTTGGAGTGGATGGTGCGGGGGAGCTGCTGGGAGATGCTGGGATGATGGATGACATGATTCGTTGTTATTTCCAACCAAACGAGTGACAGTTTCAAGGTCCAAGACTGAAGGTCTTGATCAGATCCGCCAGTGACATCTGATTCTTGGCGTCCTTGTGGGTCTATTAGTGAGTGTTCCTTCTCCCACCAGTCTGGTGAAAAGTGGAATGCCGGTCGATCTGGTGTGTGGCCACCGGGTTCCTGGTTGATGTTCTTTGCGCCGAACTGGGTGACACCCCTTCCAGTCGACTCATGGAAGAAAATGGTGTGCCAGGGAGACCCGAGTTCCGGAATTTCGTGGAATGTCCTGTCCTTCAAATGTGAAAAAGAATCTTTGGGCTTCCTGGGGGAATTGGAGAAGCATCACCAAACATCATCATTCCCTTGGCGATCGTTTGGTGAAGCGACACTTCCAGTCCTCAGTTTTGGAGGTGTCGCGCAGGCGAGCTCTTCACCTGGGACCGGCGTCCTACTCGTCCTTTCGGGCCCAACCGGGGTGAGGGAGACGCAGATGATGCAGGGTAATGTAGACTCTTGATTAATAACCCCACCTCGATTGAATTGGACATTGTCTTAGGGTTTATGAATCAAGAGTCTACATGACCAGTCTCCGGCCTGAGGAGTTGGATCACAGATGCGGGCTATGAGAGACTCGTCGGTCAGAGGGGCGGTAGGGGCGGAGCAATCGCAGCGACGGATGATCCGTACCAGTCTGCGGGTGGCCAGGATCCAGGCTTGGCCAGGGTGGGTGGCATGTGCCGGGTGTCCTTGCTGTTGACGATTGCTGGTTCCTATGAGTCGTTCGACAACCAATTGGTCGTTAGACACATATGGCCAAGACACGACCGATGGGACTCAAAAGCTCAAGCCCACTCAGTATCACTTGGGTCACAAAAAATAAGGCACCCTCTGGCCCTATGATGGGTGGTTGAAAATGGTTGAAGAAGGGGTCAATGCATACCAGTCCCCACTAAGATGGCACATATTCCATGATCAATATTTGCAATGTTAGTGGGGACACCCCGGTATAGGCTACCTTTTAGTTCCCAGTGAGAGTGGAACCTGCGGCTGCAGCTAAGGACTGCCGTTCCCTTAGATGCGGAGCTGACGGTACCTTTGCGAAAATGTTTTGGCGACCTCAACTCTAGTCGCAGGGAATCCCTTTACTGTGAGAATGAGCAAGACAAGCCAATACAACACACTTGTGGTGAGTGAATGAGTGCCTCCCGCTTGTCACGTTTTTCAACCGTTTTTGTGCTGTGATGATCCAGTTACCGTATAGAGATTGAGACCGCATCACATCTCCTGGTTCCTTTATAGATAGCGCTGCAGCCCATCCAATTCTTTGAGCTCTTTCACAACAATGGCAAAAGTACCAAGGCCCTTTGTTTACTCTTGGTTTCCTTGAACAATCTTGAACGTTTTTCACCTTTCCAACGACTCTCAGTGTATGTCCAAAAAAGCACCAACCCTTCCACCCAGGCCACGGGCTGGCCAGTGGCCCACTATGGCCTGGCCCGGCTTCTACTGGACCTGCAGCGCCATTATGCGCCGCGGGGCGGCATCGTGGTCACCGAAGCTGGGGCTGCCTTCGACGACGACCGGCGAGGAGCTGCGGGCAGGCGCCAGGCGGCGTACCTGCGGGGGCAGAGCGTGGCCTTGAGGCAGGGTGGGTGGCGGGAAGAGCTGCTTAGCAGCTGCTTGGGACATCAAAGGATCAAGTTGGTCGATAACTAGTTTCATTGTGGTGAGTAAATTTGGGAGTCAAGGCCAAGGATTCTTTCAGTCGTTCAATGAATTTGCGCCATCTACTACTACCGTTTTGTTGATGTTGATTCCTCACCTTCGGCCATTGATCGGGCGAAGAGACGGACCAAACCGCTTTGCTTCGGAGATCGACCGGAGTCCGTGCTGCGTCCGTGGTGCTCACTGCATTGAACTCCAGGAGCTGGGGGTGAGGATCGACAGGTTTGGTTCCAAAAGCCAAGTCCCAAAAAAAAGGGGTCCAGACAAGTAGATGGCCAGCCAGAAATCCGTCCTGACTGGTTGGTGGATGAAATAGAGGGGATACCCCTGGGTTGGTAAACGGCATCGACCCCTTGATTCTTCCCAAAAGAAGTCATATGGGCTTAGACATGTCCAGACATACAAGACACGCATACCGGCCCGGAACCAACTGTCATTTTCTCGTTTTTTTGCTTCTTCAAACTCTGTAAGGCCTTCTTTGACTATGCGGATTCCAAGAGGTGCAAAGACATCCATCCAAGAGGTCCCTTCAATCCGTGTTTTCTTACCCCTCACAGCCATCCCCCCCAAACCTGGGATTTGGAGGTGCACTCCGCATCTCTCCGGTGCGATCCCCCCCGACCTCTCTCGCAACGACGGTCGGGGGGGGGGGCCTCCTCTCGCAATCGCCGTCTGAGGCGTGCCATGGCGGAGGGTGCTGATGTGAGGGGTTACTTCTGGTGGACCTTGATGGATAACTTCGAATGGAGCTTCGGAGCCTCGGACGGTGCAAGGGTGGCCGAGGCAGTGAAGAGGAAGGTGCAGTCTTCGAGATATACCTTTGTTACTAGGAGCTTCTTGCTCCTAAGTAACGCCAGGAGTCAGGAGCTACTAGTACTTGTTCCTTTGCCCTTTGTGAAGTAAAGGACTTTCCCTTTCAGCAAGTCCCTTTTGAGATTTTAGATAGAGTCTGAAAGAGTCCAAGGGAGCAGATTTGCGTGAGTTTGGGTCGCTCTTGTTTTAAATCTGCCGGTTCCCTCCCTGGTTCAAGGCTGATATCTAGCGGAAACTCTGGCCAATAAATTCCGGCGTTCAATAGAACTCAAATCCCTCCACTAAAACAACAAGGTGCTGGCTGGTTTGTGAGGAACCACCAAAGGATAAAGACCCAACTTGACCTTGCTAAAATCATGTGGGAATCAGACAGGCGGCCATTTTCAGATTCAAGTCATTCGTTGGAAGTTGGAACTCATCAAATATCTGTTGAGTTATTGACTCGTCCCTTAATTGAGCCCAGCCTCCCAAGCCTATGGTCAACTGGTCAACCACTTGCTACAAGGGCCTCAATGCTTTGATGACTGGAATCCTTGAGGACATCCATCCATATCTGTCACCAAGCCCTCACCTGCCAGCAGCTCAAACATCCATGAACTCAACAGAGCAAGACACCTGTATGCCGCGCTTAATATATGATGTTTCAGCATATTTACCTCACCCGGTCTCACCCTGTGTCACCGACCCCCTGTGTCACCGACCTCTAGCCATGGGAAAACATGAAAAAAACCAACCGCATCGACTGACCTCAGGCTACTCCAAACACTTCGGCCTCTATGCCCTGGACGTCGACCTGACGCGCTGGCCGCGCGCGGAGGGCGCCGAGGCCTTTGGGCGCCTGGCGGCGCGCCAGGCGCTGGCGCCGGAGGTGACACTGGAGGAGTTTACTCGATGCCTCGATCGGCCGGATGGGAAAAAAGCGCGGGTGGTGGGGGTTGAAAGGGGTTTACGGGTGGGAGAAAGGAACACGGTGGCGGTTTGGCATATCTATAGTAGCTATACATTCAAACATGCATATTTTTGATTGGATATGATATAATTGATATACAATACATGCAGCTGTAGTAATTAGTTGCTGATGTATGAAGACAGTACCAAAACTATACTGAGAATAGAAGGCCTTCACGAGTGTTGTGGGAACAAACACCTTTCTCCGGGTTCTTCCGGGAAAAGAGTATAGGGTCTGCCAGGCATGCTCTTCCATCTCAGATATCAGTGGTATATAGATCGTACTGAGGTCGTACTGTAGAGTCTTTGATGTCTTTCTTACGACCTGTGTTGAGACTCATCCCACCTGTCCTCGCCCCAAACGCGCTGCGCCTCTCTCGCCTGCCTGCAACCCACGTGACCGGTTCCGTCCGCGGGAGACCGAAAAGCGCGCGTCCAGACTAAGCAAGACCCGGTGGGACACCTGGAGTAGGTCCAGACTGGATCGTGAAGCTTCCACCCTCCCATACTAGAGATCTTGGAGAACGTCCATGCTCACCATGATGCTTTTTTGAGGTCGCTCTGTTGGAGATGGAAGAGTGCCCGGAGAAAAGGGGTCTGGCGGATTTCGAGCGGTCGAGTCGACTTCAGATCCGTTTGGCGCTGAAAGAGCGCTGCGCAGTTGTGAATAGTGAAGCCAACACTGGATGAAATTGGTAGACCCTAAAGTCATTCCTCGTGTGGAAAAGACTTGAAGCTGGCCACATGAGCGATTTGGAAGCAAGATGTGCTCAGCCAAATTAAGTCATTTGCTTGGCTTGGCGGTTTCAAATTTATTCAAGTTTGCAATGAGTTATCTGGCATGATTCAATCTCAATGGATCTCAATGGCAAATCATGACAAATCACATATTTTGGAGGTTGTTGAAACCACCACGCAACAATTCATGATATATAATCCCTTTGAGACGAAGCAAAAGGGTGAAGATATTTGACCGTGACCGCTGGGCGGAAAAATGGCAAACCTGGCAGACCCGGCGGTAAACTCATCCTTCAGCAGCCAGCTTCTTCAAAGTGAGACTGTTTTTGGAGTCCCTAAGTGATCCTTTAGAGACCTGTTTGTGACCTCAAAGTGCACATGGAGCAAGTGGACATCATGTCGCTCAGCTGTTGAGGTATGTCGTACAGGTTAACATAATAATATATGTTGTCATAGACATAGATGTCGATTTCGCGCCACAGATGTCCTCCAGGCTGCCTTGGATCGCAGGCGCTCCGCCTGCTTCGAGCGATCGAAGCTGGGTGACCTCTCCGAAGCGGACCGGTTGAGCTTTCGGACCGGTTGGCCCAGATCGGTCTCCGGTTGGTCCGACCACACCGGCTGGGCACCAAGGAGCGGTATGAAGGGGTCGTCGTCCGGTCGACACCTCCGCTGGATGGAGTGGGGCCTCGATCAAGGTTTTGGTGAAGACAACTAAAGGGTTGGTTCGGAAGGATTCTGAGTCGATTTTGTTGTATGGTCAGGTCTTCAATGTGGTGGTTTGGGTGGCGTTTGTGTTTGGACTCGCGCATAGTATGTGGGTACTGTAAGTTGTTTTTGAAGTTGAAGATGAGGAAGGCGAATATAACATGATATCAAAACAATGTATACAGAGCCCACACATACCCACACATACTTCTCACATTTCTGCGGCTGTGTTACATATTTGGACTCTTATAGTTTTCTCATGTTTCCTCCTTATCCAAGTCACCCTTTCCTTTCACCCTGTCTTCTAGGTCCAGACAGCCGTTGCCACTGAGCGCCCCGCCAGTCTGCTCTTCGAGCCCTTGTTGCATGGCTTCAGCTTTGAGCCTGAGAGGGCTCTAGCACGAGCACAGGAGATAGCCTTGGGCCCGAGCACAAGGGTCCAGAGAATGGCATGGCGGCATGGCCATAGTTGATATCTCACCAGTTGTTCTCGTCAGGAATGATGAATGGCCCAGGAACCAAGGTCTACTGTAACAACATTTGGTTAGAGGGCAGATCTTTGCCTGTGTTTGAGGATCATGCTTCGCATGCTGGTACGGATCGAGTTGAGATGCCTGGTAATCTCAACACAGCGTTGATCTTGTGAGATTACCTGGTGGGGTTGTTCTCATGCTTTGCATCCCTGAATCATCCACTGGCTCCCAGGAGCGTTTGGACCAAGCAAGAGCCCGGCCGTTAGAATCGGAGGACTCGACTACGTGGGTTTGGATAAGAAGAGCCACGGGTGTCGTTACATGCACTCTGATCTCTTGTGGGCCATGGGGCCCATCGAGGCAGGTGACCAAACTGCCTGGCTCCCAACACATGTTGGCAGAAAACAAGGCATTCGCGGCCTTTGGTGAACGAAAAGCCTGAGACAGGTCCAAATGTCTGACCCCCGAATCGTTGAATTTGGAGGGACGCGCTCGTTTTGCGTTCCATTGATTGAGCTCGAACTAAGCTGACCGCACTCGGGACCGGGGACGGCATCGCGGTGCCGGTGAGGCTTCGGGTGGATGTGTATGAACCCCCGAAACTGGGCCCACGGGTGGATGTGTATAAAGCCCGGACAGGTTCCTGGACAGCCATTTTAGATCTTCGATACTGGGAACAAGAAGCTATGTACGCATGGTATTAGGAGGCCATTGCTTTTTTAGGGTTGGAGGCCATTCCTACTAGGAACAGGAAGCTACTGATATTCCACTAGTAGGAATAAGATACCTACCAGGAACAAGAAATACCTACTAGTCACCGGTATAAGCATCTGATGTTTCGCAAGAAGAGCTTCCCTGCATGTCTTTCGCACCGGTCTTCGGCATCTCATCGAGCCGCTTTCCCAAGCGTCGATGCCAAGCGTCTGATAGAGACCTGGAGGCTACAGGTCGGGTGTGTACAAAACTTGTTGGTTTTACCATACTTTTAAGTAGACCTCCCGGAGAACCCATGGATGTGGCAGTCCCCCTATCACCATGCGGATCGGATCATGCAACAAGTTTCCCCGCCTTCTGCAACTCGGGCGCTCGAAGTCATCTCGAAGTCCTGGTTCGAAGTCCACTCCCATCCCTGAGGTGTCTCAAAATGAGGAGGCAGAGGCGATCCATGAGTGGGGTATGGATATGGCCGGCAGCCGACCACTGATTTTTGATCCGGAGGATTCCGCCCAACCTCGGATGAAAGATGATGAAAGACAAAAAATTGCAAAAAAGAACCGTCTATAGAACTGACGGACTGACGGGGTTTTTAAAACTCGTCTCCAGAATGAAGTCCACATTGGGATGATCAGGTGATCACGCTCAGGCGTGGATTTGGGTGGTCATTCCCATGTCATTCCGAGACTTGGGAGAACTCCCAAAGACCATCCCGGAAGAAGGGCAGTAGATCAAAAACCCTACTGGCTTATGGGTCTCCCCGTGAGATGGCCCGTCGGGCCGGTCCGGCCGGTCGCACCGGCCGCAGGCGGCCGCTCTGCTGGCCATGGCCGATGCTCAAGCCGCCCAGGAGCGACCAACACCATACAGAATGAGGTCAAGATAGGTCAAGCAAACCGATCTGTACTGCAACATATATTGCCCAAGGTCACCAGGCCAATGGCAGAGGTGCAACGCTGTACCCATCCACAACCAGGTCGACAGACCTGTGGTTTTTCACCAGACCTGTCCGAGGAACAGGTGAAAGACCAGACTCTCCCCGCGAGCTTCAGTTACACTGATTGGATTCATGCAGAAGATCACCTGGAGCCCCCCTGCACCAAGTAGGCCAACCAACCAAGATATACTGGTTTTGACCTTGAGCCATTTGATCGTGATCATGACCTGTCAACCACCCCTCTTCAACCACCCCACATATGCCTCCCAGACGGGTCGTGTCGTTCTGCATGCCGGTGAGATGTGCCTCACCCGGTCTCACCCCAGTGGGCACGGGACGCAGCCCAAACCGACCGGTGAGACCGAAGGAGGCTGATACTTAGCTGCTGATGACTTGACCGAACTGGGCGCATCCCCTTCTCGTGAAGATTTTTCCTTTCATATCCTTTTATTTTTCTCGGTTCCTGGATAGCAACTCCAAGCTAATGTTGACGGTTGAGGGAGAAAACACCTATGCATAATGATATGAAGATGTAAAGCCATTCTGGAGACGGGGGTTGATTCTTCAACAGTCAACATTGCGTGGCCCTCTATGAGAGCAATCTCAGAGGAGTCTTGTTGAACATGTTGAAATGATTCTTTGCAGACCCAGCACCACGTAAGGGGTACTGTAAGACACAGTTTGACCCAATTCAACCGGAGAATTGGCTTCCCCCCCCGGCATGACCTTGCCTGGTCAACAATCGTGAGTTGTTTCGCATGGTTCACGCGTCGTCGGTGTGTGCGAAAGCAGAAGTGTCGTCTGAATTTGAGGAGGATGGCGTGGGAGACTCCTTGGAGGCACCGGAGCCTCTGCGGAGACTCGGCGTGGAGTCGTGGAGAACATTCATTTTAAGCAGCGTAATTAATAGCCTTCATGTGCACTCCTCTTGAATCCATTTGACCCCTGCTTTGAAAGGACGGGCCATTTTTTGGTATTCCTTTTTGGGTTGGATGCCCAATCGTGGCAAGGTGTGGCCACCTGATCGCCCATTTCTTGGACCGTCGTCCATCGCCAGGGCGCAGAGTCAGCTTTGCGCCTAGCGAAAGAGGTGCTGAGGCGAATGGAGGTGCAACGAGCCATGCCGCTCATCGATTCCTGCCGCATCTGCCGCGTGTGTGGAGTCACGATTCCTGGGGGAACGTGGCTGCCGCGTGTGGAACGTCAAGAGTAGATCGAGAGTTGCTTGTGATTTCCGGGTGAGAGTATAGGCTGTTGTAGACTGTTGATGAATATTGACTCTCCATATTATGATGTAAAGCCATTCGGGAGACGGGGTTATATAGATTCCTCAACAATTAACATGGCTTGGCCCTCTGTGAGAGCAATCTCACAGGAGTCTTGTTGACATGACTGTTTGCAGCCCCAAACCACGTACGGTGGTTTCAGAGTAGATGGCGGCACCGCAAGACGTCTTTTAGATCGGGATCCAAAACCACCAAACTTGGGGTAACTTGTGCCATCTAC